TAATGAAACAGGGAATTTCTTAGGCATTCTTCGCAGAATCGCCTCGTCGATATCTTGAATTCGATTTGTAGCACCGAGAATCATAATCCGATCTGGCAATCCACTCTTATTCGATGAAGTAAGTCCGTCCCAAAGTGTCATAAACCTGAACTTGTGAGCTAGAATTGCAAAAAATTGGAATAGTGTTACTTACTCTGCTTTCACCATACCACTGGCTTCATGCTCACCACTCCGTCTTTGTCCCAAAACTGCATCTATCTCATCGATAAACACAATACTGGGTTGCAATTTCCGGGCTAAAGAAAACACTGCGCGAACAAGTTTATTCGAATCACCATACCACTTTTCTGTCAAAGTCGAAATATGCAGATTGATAAAGCAAGCTCCACTTTCATGCGCCAAAGCCTTTGCCAACATAGTTTTGCCGCATCCTGGAGGACCATATAGTAATACACCGGAAGGTGCAGATAAAAGAGGGGACGAATGCGAATATAAATGAGGCATAGTAAGAGGGTAGATGACGGATTCCTTTAATTCTTCGATAATGTCGTCCAAGCCACCAATATCTACATAATATTAGCACTACCATATTGCTGTTGAAAGAGGGTACGAACCGTCAAAGCCAACGGGTATATCTTCCGGGGCTACAACTTCCATCGCAATTTGATTTTCATATTGGTCGAGGATTAAATCCTCTTTGCGGGGACGGCGCGACTTTCCCCTCCCCGAAACGGTTTCTTCTGAGTCTGATTCATCATCGCTATCCCTCCTATTTAATCTTCGAAGATTTGCCGCGGCTTTTAATCTTGCTTCTTCATGTTGCTCTTTCTCGGCATCGTTTTGAAAGGGTAAAGCTGGTATTAAACTCTTCGCGACATAGTAAAAAGAGGCCGTCTTCAAGTACCAGATACGTTAGTCGTTGCTGTAAAGTACAGGGTGAAGAGCTTCCTGGCATACTCACAGAGACAACGATCAATAATAGATCCTGTAAGAGACCATACTTCCTACTGTTACCATCCCCCATCATGACGCGCAAAGCTTAAAGAAAGGCCGAGCCAGTAGATATGCAGCTTATTGATCCTTCTACAAGAATTGGTGAAGGATTAGAAAACTACAACTACGAACTTTTAGTCGTCGAAGGGAGAATCATACAACTAAATATAAAGTCGAAATGGCGGCGGTTTTGTTCTAGCTTGTGGTGTGGCGTTTGTCTGGTGTCTAGTTCTAATGTGGCTTAACGAGTCCTGAAGTTTTTAGCACGTGCTATATTTACAAGGATAGAATCCCGATAAGCCACACCTAGGTTAGCTTAGCTTTGTTTACATTGGAAAGAGGCTTCCCCTCGATTTTGGATGGAATTACCCGTTGCCCGTCTCACTGTTTACACTTCAATAACCCAACTCAAAGCCTCACCTGTCGCATTGCACCGAATCAGTCTAACGCATAGCCATCTACCTTCTTCTGACGATATACAACATCATACGGCTTCACCGCCGGAAGCGCGTTAATCCTTCAATTGTCTCGCGTCTCAATCAAAGCGGATTGTTTACAATAAATGTCGAAATACAAAAATTCAACACTTGCAGGATTAATAGAATCAGACTCGGAGGATGATCATTTGGTAGAGCACAACATGGCGAAAAAACAATCTGAAGATTCTACCTCTGGGAAGAAAGTGCGAGGAAGACCCAAGGCAGCACCGTCAAAGGTTACAAAAACAAAAGCTCCGGCACGTCGCACCAATGGGAGGTTAAACGAAAAGACAACACCAGAGCCATCGCCCCAGGCGAAAAGAGGGAAAAGAAATGTTTTGGCAGACAAGAGTAATCGATCGAAGGGTGCCGAAAAGGAAGTGGAGCAAATCGATGAGACAGGAGACATCACCATGGAGGATGCAGCTTCGGGCGATGAATTAGATGCTGAGGTTATTGCGGTAAAGGAATCCAAAGCCAAAGCTACAAAGAAAACAGCTACGGCTCGAGGTAGAGCGGCCAAAACAGTGGTTCCAGAACCAGAAGTCGCAGATGAAACTGTGGCACCCGTGGGCAAAAAAGGCCGACCTGGAAGAAAGGGGAAAGAAAAGGCACAGGAAGAGCCCGCTCTTGAGCAACAATCGCCAGAAAAAGTCATTCAAGAAACCCAAGTACCAGAGCTGGAGATGGAAATGGAAGTAGATATCGAAGAAGATTCGATACTTGCAAATAGCATACCTGCGGTTAAAAGTAAAGAATCTCGCCCATATAACGACTCTCGGCGGCGACAAATGTCCGTATCGCGGCATAGAGCTGGCAGTGCATCGGATACGGAGAGGAACGAGCCAGCTGTTAGACGCAGACTTGGTGAACTTACAAAAAAGCTTGAGAATGTGGAAGGGAAATATCAGAATCTTCGAGAGGTTGGGGTCAAGGAGGCCGAAAAAACATTTGACCGATACAAGAAAGCAGCGGAGGAAAAGACAAAAAGTAAAAAAGGCCTAACATCCCTCAATCCTCCAGCTACTAACTTTGAGTAGCATCAAATGAACTTATCGCTTCACTGAAAGCTAATTTGGCGACTCAAACTTCTTTAGCAAAGGAAACTCGAAGTCTGAAGAAAACAATCGAATCGCAAGATGCATTAGTGACCAATTTGCAAGCCCAAATTAATCAACTAGAGTTGGCTTTATCAGAGGTACAGGTTGAAAATAAAACCCTATCTACCAAGCTTGCAGCAAGTCGCACGATAACGGCATCATACGAGAGTGCAAATGTCAAAGTTCCAGGTAGCGCTATAAAAGCCAATGGTGGCATGCGCATGATTGGAAGTCAAGAGGCGGCTCAAGCTGCACAAGCCGCTCAATTGAAAGAAGATTTATACAGTGATTTGACCGGATTAATTATACGGGGGGTCAAGCGAGAAGCAGAAGAAGATGTCTTTGACTGTATTCAGACTGGTCGTAACGGCAGTAAGTTGCTCTATGCCTTGTTCACATGATGACTTCATACTAACTGTATAATAACAGCTCTTCACTTCAAACTGGGTGTTGAAAACGAAAAAATGGCAAACGGCGATGCGGATTGCCGATACACACCACTACTAGACCCCAGCAGAGATAAACCATTACTAGAGTTGTTGCCCGATTATCTTGTAGACGAGATAGAATTTCCAAGACCACAAGCTGCTAGGTTTTATGCACGGATTACGAGAGCACTTACTGAAAAACCTGCAAGTATGGGTGGACCTGTAGATGAAAGTGATGAGTAGAGTACAATTTATGTTAGGCGTTAATTGGGCAGCTATCCTCAGGGGGAAATGGATGAGGTGTTTGGGAGTGAGGGATACATCTATCGAGTATTTGAGGAACAACAGTTTTTATGAATTGATACCTGTCTATATGATACCTGTACATCTGCTAGTTATCCTTTAATACGAGTTGATTGCAATTTATCATGCAACAATTTTGGGCAATGTCCAGATTCAAACTAAACATTCCATCTATGCTTTTCAGTCTTGGTGTCTGCTACTATGCTAACTATGGTACTGGTCAAATGTAGTTTGTACTTCGAGATAAGATGGATACATTGGCAACGACGCTCCTATGACAATAGCTAGCTATTGTGCTCAATATGACTTGCATCTTTCAAGTCCCTCGATCGCATTGAGAATAAGTTTCCCTCACCAGACGAAGATGCCGTTTGCCCTGTTCTAGGAAATCGAATCTGGATATGTTGTCCGTTGAGAGGTCTTTAACTTGGAGCTGCAGCTGCGAGGTAATCGTAAGTTGCTTTGTATTGTGGATGCGTAAGTTGTATTTTGATAACTCTGTTTTTGATTAAAGATGTAGGTAGCCTTTTACCTCTGGTAAAAGTAGTGAAAGATACTTATCTGCTTTCTTCAGAGCATTATGAGTTTAGAAAGAGAACTATCTATACCAGTAGTTAATCACTACTGCATTTACAATTCGTAAGCCCCTTTACTGGTTTGATGCCCCAAACATGATGAATATCAAAAATAGGGTCATGGATGGATTATATTTCGGACTATTGTGCTGTGATCAAGTTATTTCTGTTCGGGTTACCCTCAAAACAGGTGTCTCCCCTCAGACTATACACCAGCTTGGCCATTCGCAGTCCTCGCATATTGCAGAGCGGAAAGGCTTAGTCATCTTGAACTTTATATAATATTCATCTGTTTTCGTCTTAGTTACTTGTAGCAATTGGTATTGAATAAAATAAATGATGATGACGTGCGACTAACATGATGGCAAATCCGTGAAAATCGAAGGCGCCACTGCCAAGTCACTCCTGGAGCTAGAGAGTAGGATATCATATCACCGGCAATTGGTCTGCCTGTTGGAGTTAATAGGATGTAAGCAGCCAATTTCATTCTCTAGGTCCTAAGTACCAAATTCGGTCGAATAGACTCCACTAGCTAATACAAGGATTCATGGTGTGCTCCCCAACTCTCAAAAATTATCATTAATCCAAACCTCAATTCTTTCGTTCAAAAATCTATGGTCTCATTGTTTGGCCTATAGTGAGTAATTTTATCAGGTTTCACCGCGTAGAAGCGAGGATTTCGAGGTCTCCTGGTTCAACTTCTCCCTATCATTCCAAAAGACCGCAAACCCACTGTGCTCTCGAAGGGAGGGGGAACCCCCTCCCGGACAAGATAGCCCACGTATACTCGTGATAAAATATGACAGGTCCCGGGTTCAAAGACTGGTTGGGTCTCTGTCTTTTACCAATATGGTTGTATTATTCAGGGTTTTCTATGTTGTGTGAGTGTGAGGAAGATATATCAATTCTTTCCCTAAATGACTATTTCGAAGGTCGATGAAGTTTTGACGTTCCCTTCTAGCGTGCACAGATCACATTTTTGAGTCTTGTTAGTCAGCGTTTCGCAACCCCACCAAAAAACAAAGGAGTGAACAAAACTTCAAAATTAAGAGGTTCCAGCCAAAGTATTCGATATCAAAAGCTTTCCAAATGGAAAAAACAACCATATTGGCAAAAGACGAGGGGCCCGACCGGGATTTGAACCCGGGACCTGTCATATTCTATCACGAGTATACGTGGGGAGAGTATCCCGAAACAACAATCATTCTACTAGACCATCGGGCCGGTCGTGTTTGTTTGATCGTCTTGGCCACCATTTTAATTTATGACTGTCTGGACTGTAGGAGTATCAAATGTATGAATCGGCTGCACAATCGGATAACTCCACACCCCGGAGGAAGAGAATTGCCGTTAGGCAATCTTTTGGATACCACATTTTTGATATTCACTCTGAATACAATCTGTCGGTTTATGTTGGGCCAATCTCAATCTCAATGTCTATGGAGAACAGAGGCAAATGTACTTCGAACCAGGTTATGAAAATTATTACGTTGAATTTTTACAAAATTATGAAAATTAGTTCATTTTGGCGTGTGTCACTCGCTTAGTTTGGGTCTGATGAAGGGGCACCGAGGCATGGATTTTGTGGGGAAATAAGCTACATGCAACGAAACAATTTTGGCGCAAGGCAAAACCATGTATCAAGGCTGACACCTCGAAAAGTATCAAAATATTCATTCATGTATGAGATTTCTTCATATGATATCATGGCTCACATGGTAATGATTATATTGCAATTCACTTGCTAATTTCTTTCAAAGGTAATAATAACTAACGCTTTGACCTTTAAACATCCCAGATAGTTATCTATCTTGGCCATCATGAGTATGGAACGACTCATTTTAATGAAATGGGACCCAAAACAACGGGTTAACACAACTAAAAATGATCATGAATTAACAGATTAAGCACAAATGAATTCTTATTCACCCCCACCAGCATACAGTGAGACCTACGAGTCACCACAGCCTCGCGATGGCGCGAAGCAGCCATCTCAAATTCGACGCAAGCCCTTAACACCTAGGTTGAAGACGGCAACGTCTTCGGAAGGCGATATCAATACTTCGACGAAGCATAGTCAAGATATACAAGGAAATGGGAAAACGGAGGGACATGGTTATATCAACCATGCTCCAGCTCCAGTATTAAAATTGCAAGCAGTTTATCCTATAGTCGCGGACTTCGAGACCCAAACGAGTACGAACATTGAAAGGACGATTTGTACCCCGGCAGGCCCCCAACGTTCACCATCCTCCGAAAGTCTCTCCAAAATTACAATCGAGACTTCCTCAGAACCATCATCCACTCCAATTGCCTCATCCTACGTCTCCAACGCATTTCGGGAAGCACGACATTTTTCCGGGGGACTTATAGCACATCCATCAGAAAGCACAAAACACTTTTCTATCCTACGGCATTCACATGGCTTGGTATTTTATCAAGGCTGTTCTACAACTCTTACTGTCTCAATCTTTTCCGATGCACCGTTACCAGCAGGTCGGCAGGTATGGTTACAAAACAAGGGGTGGTCTGGAAATACTGGGATGCGATTGAAAGCTTTTGTTGGGAATAATGGCAGTTGGCTCAATGTTACACCGGGGATGTCTATTTCGGCAGACCAATTGAAAGAAAGCGATGAGCGAGCCTGGCAACGAGACATTAAGAAATTCTTGAAGAAAACCAAACATCCAAAACATATATTGCGCGAAACCCTTGTCGTCCGCATACCAGTCGAGGCAAGCGATGGGTATTTTCACCTCGTACTTTGTTCTGACGAAAAGAAAAAAGTCCTATGTCCAAGTCCTGTGTTCCGTATTCTTTCTGCTTCTACAAGTCCTTCTTCAGTAAGAGGTGCTAGTTTAAGTACTTTACCCTTGGAGCTTGGTGCTATGGCCATGACTGCTTATGCCAATAAAACAATTGGAAGAATGATTACTCCAGCTACGTCTGCTGCTGAAAAAGTTGTTCATCCTTTTATGCCTTCTCTAGCCAGGCAGGAAGCGGCTATAGCACTATATGGAAAAAGTGGAACAGAGGATATGGTCACATCTACCGTCGTGAATGGAAATATTCGATATCAAGGAATAAGAAGTTTCTCATGCAATCAAGCTAGAAGTGAAGATAATGAGTTAGGTCCAAGGCCTCCATATCCCATTTGTTTCATAGCACGATCGGAGATCCAAATAGGAGATGGAGATTATTTCAGTATGCCCACCATGAAGTTATTAGGCATTGCAGAACATATATCTCATCAACTCCGAGGTCATTATTTCGCTTGGGTACGACAGCGTCCTATTAGAGGACAAGAGAATACCGATGCGAATATCTGGTCTCAAACCGTGATATCATCATTACCAATCCAAGCTTCTGATCTGCCCAAAGCTACAATCGCGCAAGCTAGCCGAAGAATCTTCAAAATCCATTTCATATCCGATTTCTTCGAAGCTCAAGCCTACGATATGAAGAATCTCGATATTAAAATCATGGGATTTCTACGTCCTGATACTACATCTAATTCTCCTCTAAAGGATGTAATATTAGAAGAAGAATTGGTGGCTTCACTTAATGATATTATATTCGCACAACAAATTCTTGATCAACCGATTTTTGCACCCGAGATGGAGGATTTGCAAAGGTGGGATATGCGAGAGAGAGCTATAACGGGATATGCGGATGTGAGGTTGAGGGCGCAGAGGGGGGTTGATAGAGTGCCGTTTTTTAAGATGGGGCTGAGGGTTGAGGGTGATAGGTTGAGGGATGGGGGGGTGGGGGTTAATGGGTTTTTTGTTGTGAGGTGAGGTGAGTGTGAGGTGAGTGTGAGCGTGACGATGAGTGTGAGCGTGACGATGAGGATGAGGATGGGGATGGGTTGTAGGAGCGGTGGTTGGCGGGATAGTTAATGTTTAAATTTTAATATCTAATATCTAATTTGGGAGTTGTGTATAAGAGGACATCCCAAGTAAATGTCCGAGAGTCGAATAGAAATCCATATGATTTCCAATGTTCAGATCAAATTGTAACACTAGTTTTCCCTAACTAGCGCTGCGTTATTCCCTTTTCCATCGGCTCCCTTCTCTGCGAATGTAGACAGGAGTAAGTAAGTACGTCTAGTAGCCTTGCGTATCCTAAGCCATCCTTCGGGAATAATGAATTTCCCATGCGTCACTCTGAGCATTTCCTTCAATTCTCTGGTGTATAAAGCAAATAGAAGTTTATTCAAAAGTTTAATATCTGATTAAAGTATATCTGAGTATATTCCAAATCGTTTCTCCATCTCCATCTCCATCTCCATCTCCATCTCCATCTCCATCTCCATCTCCATCTCCATCTTTTCTATCCCAAATCCAAACTATATACCACGATGGGAAAATCCATAAATAACTAAATGAAATCAATAAAGGAAGATTCATATTTCATTTCTTGAATATCTATCCTATCTATCCTCTCTGCACTAATTTCAACGCTTCTAGCCAAAAATTCAAAGAAGCACATTTCCCTTCCCTTACTCAGCGACTTTAAAACATTCGATTTGTGTTTTGTTTTTTTAAGTAATATAAACACATAGACACAAACAATCTATAAACCAAGAATCCTCCAAGGAACTTTAGCAAGAAGAGAAATCTCATATATGATTGAGATGTAGTGCCTTTGAAAATAAATGAAATCGATATCAATTATCTTTCGCGATTCGAAAAGTTAACGTTATTTTATGCTGTGACTTCTTCGGATGCGAGATCAAATCAATGACTCAATACAATGTAATGTAATGTATTATTTGCAAATTTCTCACTGTATATATATATATATATTCTCAAAGTTTTCTTACACATCTCAGACTATACCAATACCATCCCTCATTTACGGCGCTCAAAATCTGGGCTCAAAACACCACCTCTGCGATTTCGCAGGTTGGAGATACAAGAAAGTAGTTACATCACTGCTGTTGGAATATATATACATATACAGTAGTAAGTAAAGTAATACCCTTAATATCTCAAGACCATTAATCTCACTCCGCCCTTACTTACTATGGGCAATATACTAGATTTTCTAGTACGTTATATTACCTAACGGGGAAACTTGCCAGTGGCCAGTGGGATGAAATGCTATATCGTTGAAGATATACAAGTGATCCCCTGATATAGGACTTACTGGTTGATTTAAAGATTCTACAAGCGGAAAGAATGTTATATCTATCCAGCTGGATGAAGGTGCTCTTGAATCGTTTCTCTTATGTCGTCAAATCCGTCTAATATATCCTTCAGATTGTTAATCACTTTACAGATCAGTTTTACAGATCACTCAACCCATCTTCTCTTATATATAAATACCAAACTTGCAAATTTGACATTCCCTTACTTTAGAGTAGAAATACTACTGTATAAAATCCCAAGTTTGGAATCTCATGCCATGACTAGAAAGGTACCAGGTTAAAATTGTCGCGGTGACAAAGCTAGCAAAATCTCTTCATTGAGATTATATAGTCAGAGAGAGAGAATTATATTTCGTGATTGTTTAACCTATTATATATAAATAGCAATATATCATGAACTCTACCCGGACATTGATTACATCAAATTACATCAAATCATCTAAATCATCTAAATCATCTAAATCATTTTATTATTCACTACACCTCTTCCCCCTTTACTAGCAAACATTCATCCCACAACATATTAAAAAACCTCACCAAAAAACCTCACAAAATCCACTCCAAAAAATCAATAAAAAGTACTTCTTTCTCATTCCTATCTAACTACCTAATATCTCCCATTCCACTTCCCATCCCTAGCTAAGTAAAGCACCACCTTCCCAATACCATCATCTCATTTTGCATATGAACATTCTCTATCTAGCCTCAAAACCAGATGGATAAGTTATCAGACCCAGCAAAATATCGCTTCTCTCCTCATTCACAATCTCCAGAATTTCATTGCTGAATAATAGTAAAACCAATAAATCAATCAATCAACCAGTCAGACCACTCAAATGGTAGGATGATGTAAAAAGCTATCGAATCGATTCAAAGCACAGCTCTTCCTTGGTTCAACAATATCTCATGCCAACCAATTGAAATTCCTCTATCGTCAATTCATCTCACTTCTCTGCTCCCACCTCTCTAACTTCCCATCAATGACTAGCATCGAAACCTGAAAATCTCACACCTAACTTTTTCCTAAGAAAAGAAAGGTACCTCAAAAATAAAAAAGCTTCGTCGTAGAAAT